ACAAGGGGCGGTGGGAGGGGAAGGGGGCTGGTTCTTGCCCTAGCTCTAGGAGGTAATGGGGTCTAGTGTTTAGTGCAAGGGCAGGAGCCAGAACTCCTGGGTTCTCTCCCTGGCACTGGGAGGGAAGTCTGGGGAAGCCCTGCCGTGGGGGCTATTTCTGCTGATCTGTGTTCTGATCCTCAAATGTCCCCTGCTTTCTCTTTTCAGTCTATGCTGCTGGAAAAGCTGCCACCGCTGGCGTCCCCAGTATTTATGCTCCGAGCATCGGCGCCCCCAGTATCTACTCCCACCCGAACCCTGTGAAGCTAGGTCCCCCTGCCACCATGATTCCCATGGGACCCATGTCACCCATGTACAACGGCTATGGGGCAGACTACGACCGAGCCAGCTCGGGTAACTTTGTATTCTGTCTCAATTAAGTCCTGCCACAAGAGTGAGTAACTGCCCTAGAGCCAGTGACCATAGCTGGGGATCTGTCAATTGGCTACAGCTCTACCGGAGTCAGTGGGCCAGGACCCCGGTGATGTCAATCACACAGCTCCCCTGGAGTCAGTGCTGGTCTGCATCATCCCTGTCAACCCAGAGGGCAGGGTGAAGGCTGGGTAGCAACATGCTCAGCCCTAGTTACGCTCGGTTACGGTGCTCACTTATTGTTTAAGGGAGGGGGCAGGTTTGTGTCTTGCTGTGTCTGGGCAGCACCTGGCACAGTGAGTTCTATGGGATTATGATGGATTTCCTGGTCACATGGCAGAACTATGGGCCCAGATCGCTGGGGTGCTGGGACTTGCAGGGCTGAGGTGCACAGACAGGAAATAGTGGCACTGAGCGGCAAGGCTGAAGTTATGCTTAATCTCTCCTGATTTCCTTGTAGTTGGTGGGAACAGCTCCCAGGTGCCCCTGCTTCGGGATACGGATAGTGGCGGGAACTCAGGTAAGGCGACGCCAGGCTGCGAAGCAGACTTGGCAGATGACAATACAGCAATGGGAGTTGGTAGTGTGATACTGCTGCCCTCTGCTGGATGGAGTCAGTACCCCTTTAGCTCAGGCAGCTGCAGCGTGTTAGCTGCATGGATAGTACTAGGATGGGAGACCTTTTGTGCAGGGAGCTGTCTGAAGGGCCCCCTTGCCTTTTGGGGTCAGGATCGGCACTGGGAGTGCTCGGGGGCATTCTCCCCTTGCAGTCAGTGCTGGCCCCAGTGTGATGCCAGGGGGCGCTGCATTGAGAGGTGTTGATCAGTCAGTATGAGAGGTTGCTTAGTGCAGTGGTCCCCAACGCGGTGCCTGTGGGCGCCATGGTGCCCGCCGAGGGATTTCTGTGCGCCCGCTGAAACATGGGCTGGCCCCACCCCTGGTGCGCGGCACACGCATGGTGCTGGCTCCAGGCGCGGGACGCATGGGCGGCCCCTCCCCCGGGCGCACGGCACATGCGCAGTGCCGACCCTGGGCGCATGGCTCGTGGGTGGCCCCGCCCCCGTGTGCCCAGCACGTGAGTGGCTCTGCCCTTAGTGTGTTCATTCTTAAAGTGCCCCATTCATCCAATGGTCAAATCCCACATCTGGCAATTCCATTTTACTTCCCTGCATTTGGATCTGAGTCCTTTGCAGCTGTTCAACAGCTGCACGTCACACGACACACCAGCTGCCCTGCCCTGGAGGTGGGTGAGTCTCACTGGTTGTAGCTGCCCCTTCCAAACACGATCCACATTAAAGGGGTCTCCCTACTCACTCGCCTTTCTGGCTCCCTCTCCCCAGCAGTGCGCAGTGGATATCGGATCCAGGCTAACCAGCAGGATGACTCCATGCGGGTCCTTTACTACATGGAGAAGGAGCTGGCCAATTTTGACCCCACGCGGCCGGGTCAGGCCAATGGCAAGCTGGAGAAGTGTGAGTAGTCGCCTAGCTGTAGATTCTTGTTCTCCTTCCACCCAGTGCCAAGAACTCCCTGCAGCACAACACCCCCAGGTACCATGCTGGGGCACTGGGACCAACCCTGTCAGGGGAGAACCTTGCCATCCTGCTCCTGCAGCATAGTGCCCCACCATCATACTGGAGCACTGGGGCCAGCCCTGATTGTGAGGGAAGAAACCCCACCCCCACCCCATCCTTGCAGAACAGTGCCTCGTAAGAGCATAAGAATGGCCGTATTGGGTCAGACCAAAGATCCACCTAGCCCAGAATCCTGTTTTCTGATAGTGGCCAATACCAGGTGCCCCAGAAGGAGTGAACAGAACAGGGAATCAAGTGATTCCACCGGTTGCCTATTCCTAGCTTCTGACAGAGGCTGGAGACACCATCCCTGCCCATCTTGGTTGTTAACCATTGAAGGCCCTTCATGACTATCTAGATCTTTTTTGAACTCTGTTAAAATCCTGGCCTTCACAATATCTTCTGGCAAGGAGTTCCACAGGTTGACTGTGCATTGTGTGAAGTACTTCCTTTTGTTTTAAAAGTGCTGCCCATTAATTTCATTTGGTGATCCCTAGTTTGTATGTTATAGGAACAAGTAAATAACTTTTTCTTATCCATTTTCTTCACACCAGCCATGATTTTATAGATCTCTATCATATCCCCCCTTAGTCTCCTCTTTTCTAAATTGAAAAGTCCCAATCTTTTTAAACTCGTCATATGGCAGCCGTTTCAAACCCCTAACCATTTTTGTTGCCCCTTTCTGAACTTTCCAATGCCAAGGTATCTTTTTTTGAGATGAAGTGACCACATCTGTACGCAGTATTCAAGATGTGGGCGTACCCTGGATTTATACGGAAGCAATAAAATATGCCGTCTATTCTCTATCCATTTTTAAAAGATTCCTAACATGCTTTTCTGACTGCCGCTGCACGTTGAGTGGATGTTTTCAGAGAACTATCCACAGTGACTCCAAGATCTGAGTGATAATGGCTAAATTAGTCCTCATCGTTTTGTACATATAGTTGGGATTGTTTTCCAATGTGCATTCCTCTGCATTTATCAACATGAAAATTAATTTGCCATTTTGTTGCCCAGTCACCTAGTTTTGTGAGATCCTTCAGAAGCTCTTCACTATTTGCTTTGTTCTTAAGTAGTTTAGTATCAGCTGCAAATTTTGCCTCCTCACTGTTAACTCCTTTTTCCAGATCGTTTATAAATACGTTGAATAGGATTGGTCCCAGTACAGACCCCTGAGGGACACCACTAGTTACCCCTCTCCATTCTGAAAACTGGCCATTTATTCCCACCCTCTGTTTCCTGTCTTTTAACCAGTTATCAATCCATGTGAGGACCATCCCTCTTATCCCATGACAACTTTACTTTACTTAAGAGCCTTTGGTGAGGGACTTTGTCAAAGGCTTTCTGGAAATCTAAGTGCAGTACATCCACTGGATCCCCATTGTCCACATGCTCGTGGACACTCTCAAAGAACTTTAAGACATGGTTTTCCTTTCCAGAAACCCCAACAAATTATGTTCATCAATGTGTCTGACACTCCTGTTCTTAACTATAGTTTCGACTAATTTGCCCCCTAGCATTGGGCCTGGACACTGGGGTCAGCCCTGGCTGCCCACGAAGAAACCCCTCCCCTTCCCCCCCATTCCCTGCAGCACAGAGCCTCCTACTGCTGCACTGGGGCATTGGGCCTGGAATGCGGGAAAGCACAGAGGCTCATTTAATAGAACACTAGAACTGGAAGGGACCTCGAGGTCATCGAGTCCAGTCCCCTGCCCTTATGGCAGGACCCAGTACTGTCTAGAATGGGTCATCCCTGATGTCTGACTTAAACTGCTCTTAAATATCTCCAGAGATGGAGATTCCAAAACCTCCCTAGGCAACTTATTCCTTTACCTCCCTTGCTTCAGTTTAAGCCCATTGCTTCTTGTCCTGTCTTCAGAGGCCAAGGAGAACAAGTTTTTTCCCTCCTTTGTGACACCCTTTTAGATACCTGAAAACCGCTAGCATGTCCCCTCTCAAACTAAACAAGCGCAATTCTTTCAGTCTTCCTCCATAGGTCATGTTCTCTAGACCTTTCATCATTCTTGTTGCTCTTCTCTGGACCCTCTCTAATTTCTCTACATCTTTCTTGAAATGTGGTGCCCAGAACTGCACACAACACTCCAATTGAGGCCTAATCAGCACAGAGTAGAGAGGAAGAATGACTTCTCATGTCTTGCGCACAACACTCCTGTTAATGCAGCCCAGAATCATGTTTGCTTTTTTTGCAACAGTGTCACACTGACTTGTATTTAGCTTGTGGTTCACTATGACCCCTAGATCCCTTTCTGCAGGACTCCTTCCTAGACAGTTGCTTCTCATTCTGTAGGTGTGACGTGGATTGTCCCTTCCTAAGTGGAGTACTTTGCATTTGTCCTTATTGAATCTCATCCTATTTACCTCAGACCATTTCTCCCTCCAAAGCAGTTGCAACCCTTCCCAGCTTGGTATCATCTGCAAACTTAATAAGTGTACTCTCCTTGCCAATATCTAAATCGTTGATGTAGATCTTGAACTGAAACAGTCCCAAAACAGACCCCTGCCGAGCCCCACTTGTTCTGTCCTTCCAGCAGGATCGTGAACCGCTAATAACTTCTCTCTCAGAAGGGTTAACTCTTAACCATTTAACTTTGTGTCCCCCCCCCCCCCCCCCCCCCGCACGG